GTGTTTTTTGCTTCAATTTAATGTCCTTATGCTTTGCTCAACAGTTTTAATATTAGCAGGAAAGGATGCCCTTCTTCCTTGTTTTTAAGATATGTGCAAGACCCAAATAATTGCTTTGGGTAGGTAGCCTGCTACCACATTGGAGAATGCTGATTATTGGAATACTAGGATCTACATAGGCCTAAGCCATAAATTTAACATTCTGCTGTACGTTAAATTAACATTTGAAATGTTAAATCAAACATATGGGATGTTAACAGTAGTGCAGTTACTAGTGTAGTGTTAATCAATCAATAACACATTCAAACAGCATACACACTAAGACTTAGCAGATATGAATAACATGGTGTTGAGGGCATGATAAGGGTGTTTAGATTAGGTTGAAAGGAAAGAAGTGTGTAAAAGTGACCAATAGGAAGCTTCCCCTGCATACTCAACACAGTGTTATAGTGTACTGCCAGTGTGATGAAATACTATGACCATGTACTGGTGTGTTAAGGGGTCATTTGGAGGCTTCTCCAGGGTCATCATTTGCTACTGGAATGGATAGCCTGTGACCACAGTATACTTATAGGATTGGTAGGTACATACACTAAAACATACTACCAAGTACCAGTTTAATCGTATGAGTCACATGATTCAATTGTATGATTCAATTGTGTCATACATGTGATTTTTACACCAATGCCTAAATTGATGTAATGTCAATTGGAATAGAGCCATTACTACAAATATAATAACAATTGATCCACCCACTAGTAATCTGTGGTTCACATTGTAAATTTAATTATGCCATCATTTTTAGTACAACTTCTATAGAGTTCTACTGAGTGTTGCTCACCACCATTTTGGGATTTGCCTTGTGAGAAAGAAACAGAATTGGGTTGCTAACGCAAGAAATAATGCACTTACTATGGTGCAAAAACTAAGTTAGTGCTGATGTAATAAGTACTGACCATCTGGAAAGAATTTAGAAGCTCATCAATCATGAAGGCACTGTGGCTGCTTGTTGTTTCTGAAATACTAAGAATGGAATTCATTGATTTTAAATCTATGTTGAAAATTGTTGGCAGTGTTGTTTTTTATAAGAAGAGGCTATTCTTGGGGGGGGGGCATCAAAATTCATCTATTGCTGCAGTGTTTTGAGAAGTCAACGTGAAATAATTTATTGAGTCTCCTTCTTTGAGGACCACCCCTATCCATTCAACTTTCTCAGCACCTACACTTTGAACATCAAATGATCCATCAATGTTGATAGCACCAAATAAAGTGTAGGTTGGTTTAGATGTGTATTTTAAATAAAATACTAAAGTTATTTGGTATCTAAAGAAGTGTCAACAAGTTTGGGAGATGTCAAGTGCTTCCAGCATATCTGGTCCCTGCAGATCCTAGTACATAATCCACAGCAGCTCTTAGTAGGATTCTGATCTAGTGAGACTTCATGTCATGAGCAAAGATACTCTTGATGATGCTTGGTATTCTCGTACCTTGTTTGAGTATGCATGTATGTAGGTACGTGGGTCCAGTCTCGGGGACTGATGACTGCCAAGCCCCTTGTACCACTATACTTGTTGTAGATACCTGGTACCCTTCTTTCAGTTCTACAGACTTGAAAGTCCAAATGGCTCCATTTTCTTTTGATTTTTAAAATCTCTGTTGTCATTACTACTAATCATGACAGCAGGTCTGCCAATATACAATTTAAGCATTGGATCTAGTATCCTTTTGGATGATTTGGTTTCACCTGCAACTATGTCAGTATCTGATGCCATACTAGTAAGTAAGCAATATTGCTGAAAATCTAGCATGTCTCTGTATTTTCTTGTTTTGTCAATCTGCAGTTTTAAGTTTGATGCCTTGATTGAAGAAAGTCAGAAAATATGCCATCATTTATTGCACACTTGTCTGCATTGCTATTTATTGCATAAGCAATATCTTCTGTGAGTTTGTCCCAAGGTTTTACAATTATTGAATAGATGATTTAAACATGCTCTTCTTTTAAGTCATTTGTTCTTAAATCATCAAGAACCTCCTGCCAGATTACATCATTTTTAAACCTTTGGTTTGTTTAAGGTTCAAGAAATGTGTTTTCTCTCCTGAGATAGAAATCCTTTTTCATTAAGAGTGAGTCTCCTCCTACTGGTTTGAGTTGGTTGAAGTCACCTGCAAAGACAATGGATAGATTGCCTGCAATGGAAATTATATGACAACATTTCCTTGGGTTGGAATGATACTATCTTGTGGTCTTTGAAGGCACGGACAACTAGTATTGGGTTCCTAACTATTCCCACTGGAACCTCCGCCAACTGTTTTGCAGTATGGTTTGACATCTGCTGTGTTAGTACTCCAGAAGAATACTCCAAGAGTCTCCATCTAGCAAAACACTGCTATCAGACTAACATCAGTTGGCATCATCTTTTTCTGGACCACATTTCTCAGCATTGGATCTCAGATCTAGACGTGAGGAATCCTGTTCCTTTTAAAGGCCTCCTTGTTTGAAAACTTTATGTGTTCATATATTGCTCTGTTGGAGCAAAGCAATAAACACAGGAAAGAGCCATACGCTTTTTTGTCTCCACCCCAAACTTGTCCCACTGAAGCCACCACATTGTTTCCCCCCAGACCCTGAAGCTCAGTTCCTATCCAATGTCCACTGATACTTCCTTCTCCTCTTCATACTACTATGAGAGTTTTTAAACAAAATCTAGTAGAGGAGTATTAAAGATGGCTATTTCTTTTAGCAATACCAATCTGATTCCTCCATACTTCTTCATCCCTCTATTACTGACTTCTCTGGAGAGCATTACTCAAGCTATGTTGCTGATCTTTGATACATACTCCAAAACAAGACAACAATGATACTTTAAGCTATTCCAGCATACTACCTTAGTGCATACTATGTCCTACTACCCACTCATCCTTCTCCAGCAGTCCTTTCTCTCACAGCAACTAGTACTACTAATTGCAGCATCAACCTTCTCCTACCAGCAAGAAGTGATGGTTCTAGCTTCCCGAGTAATGCCTCTGTTAGTTCACGACATTAAATATTTCTAGTTGTTCTAAATATTATTATTATTAACATTATGCAATGCTCATGTGTTTTTTGGCTAGTCTTGGGGTTTTGCCCACTTCTGCTTTGATGGTTGTATGGCTTGTGACAGAATTTATCAAGTCTTGGGAATATGATTCTCTTTCACCATGTAAAAATAACCACCAGTTTGATTTTGAATGACCAATCACTRGTGTAGTAGTTGCCCCATTTGCTGGTGGCTAAATTTTGTTTTAGAGGCTACTATCAATGTTGATGTTGGTATTGCTATGCTCTGTGATGCTATTCCCCAACTTCTTGCTGGAGAGGAATTGGCAGTGTTTTTGGTAGGACTCAAACTTGTCCAAGCATCATGCCTGTCATAGCCATAACAATAGCCAAGGCTGTCCATATTTCTTGTTGTTGCTGGATTCTTTTTAATGTCTGAATGGCCGATCACAATAATTACTGAATTTTTTAGTCTTGGGAGGATTTAGGTTGTTCTCTTACATTTTGGAATGACCAATCACAAATTTGACTTATTTATTTGTGTCTTAGGAGTAATTTGGTTCTCTTTCATCTTGGAATGACCAATCACAATATGACTGATTTTTTTGGTCTTGGGAGTCATTTGGTTCTCTTAAATACTGGAATGACTGATTGTCACAAAATGACTGAATGTTAAATTAAAAATGAATAATCTGTTTTTTGTCAAGGTACTAATTTATTTTCAAAAATGGGATACTGGGGTTTACATTGATTCTAAACTAAAAGCTCCCCCAAAAGTCCAGGGCAATGAGAATTCTTCAAGGTCAGTGCTGGCTACCATGCACAAAAAATAGTGGCAGTCCAGTGCACCACTGTAGCCAAGAATTGGCTGGCTGAAGCAAAACTTTTCTACAGTGCAAAGATTGGCTCACTAACACAAATAATTGCTACAGTGCAAAACTAAGCTAGTAGTGCCATCAAGGTGGAAAGTAATGCTCTGAAAAGAATTTAGAAGCTAATCAGCGATGAAAGCACTGTGACTGTTTGTTGTTTCTGATACTCATTGATTTGTTGTGTATGTTGAGTACTACTGTTGGTGTTGGTGTTGGTGTTGTAAATACAAGGACAAGAAGAGGTGTTCTTACAAGAAATAGACAACCACTGCTGGAACAATAAGAAGGGGGCACAACTTATACTTCTGTTTGTTCTTCTTTGATTTTCAACAACCTTGCTTCTCCATTCTTCTTTACTAGTACAAGCACAACAAGTACTAGTACTAGTAGTAATAATAGTACTAGTGGCTAGTACCAGTCCAGGAATTGTTACAGTAATAAAGCTATGGTCTGTCTACAAAATTATTGGTGAAGTCCGACAACTGACTAACAAATTGTGARCACTTGTCAGCCACAAGAAGTGCTTACTATTCGTATGCTTTCTTATCTGGTATTACTGAAAGCTACTAGAAGTATATCACTAATTGCATGACAATGTCTACTGGCAGCTGATGGAGACCATCTTCGTGGGCACTTGATACTACTATTATARTAGTAGGTGATGAATGATATTTTCTCTTTTCCAAAAAGAGAAGGGACACCCCACGTTCCATGCGATGCATGTTCCGTTGAAGGCATGCCTCCAATGGATGACATTCATTTTYCACWGAGTCAGGTGTCATTTTCATCGTTTGGTGCACAYAGYTTTGCATCACAATCCAATCCTTTGGGTTAATAGTAGAGCTTTAGCWCACTCACAAATCACCCCTGTTGAATATTGAAGCTGCCTTGAGGATCTTACGACATCCGGTATTCTACCAAAATAATACCTGCCTATTCAAACAGAATMAYAGCTTCTGATGCTTTGCACAKGGCGTCGCTTTGATTCGTCGAAAGAGTTGTTATATTTCATACGTAGTATTGAAATTCTTCAACCGCTCATTACATATCGGTAGGGCTAGTCTGAATCATTTCTATCCGATAACCCAACGCCTTAATTGATGAATTCATTTCACTATTGCAACCGGTACCTAGTTCCCGTCTCTTCTTTCCAACGACGCATTTTCATCTGAATCGCCGTCTTCGAATGTCTCGGTTTCAATAGAATTCTTCTTATTCAATATATCTATTGGACCATTTTTTTCCACTAGCTTCCACAGAGATGTTATTCCCCTCATYAATTGAAGCACGACAAGTGAATACCAGACTTTCATAAGAGTACTTCCAGAATCTGATTCTTTGCCTCCAAAACGTYGAAGGTAGAAAAAGGTTGCTACTGCTACTGATACACTGAGAACCATACTTTTTGCTTGATACGCAAAGACCGAAGCTCCTTGTAGAACGCCGTCCGCGGCGAAGACGAAGGAGTTGAGCGGTTGTGCAGCGATCAGCAGAAACAACAATGGTTTCAAAACGTCCTGTGTCGATTTGTCGCTGGTGAACAAGTTTAGGAGGAATCCAGAATAATTTCCAATCTCCAAAGCCGCCATAAGCGCCAATCCTAGCAGAAAGCTGTAGGCAAAGATTGTTCTGCTAACGTCGCGAACACCACCTACACCGCACAAAGGTGCACAATAGAGCAGGAAAAAAAAAACAGAAAATAATGAGGTGCCAARATTTCTTTACGACGCTTTGTCCGAGTCCGATATTTTTCTATCACAAGAATAGGGTGTATCGAAGGGGCAATCTTTATGGTCGTGTGGTTGCTTGCGTACCTGTATTGCCTTGCCCAATGCGATCTGCCACCAGAGCCTGAGAGGCAGCAGCCAATGCATCGCACACAAACGAGCAAAGTAGCCAGAGTTGCAGGGCGATTTGATGTGCTGCAATACTGGCAGAGGCGGCCTCCGATCCACCTCCACCCCTGGTTGCCATGGCGGCCGCCCCTGCGATGGAAAGTTGTAGCACAAAAGTTCTCACAAAGACGGWCGAGGAAGCAACAACAAGCGGCTTTACCGCCTCCCAGCTTGGGACGTTAAGGGCAGGAGTAACCACTATCTTTGGCTGTTCTTGTTGCAGCTGTGATAAAGCCAAACCGTTCGAACGTTCCTCAACAATTTCGATCTGCTGTGTTCGACTCGACACCTGCCAGTTCGCACCAGTCGCAGTCTGGCATTGTTGATTGCTACCAAGTTTTCCATCGACGGATGGAATGATTCCCGCCAARATCAACAGCAATGAGGCCGCGCATATCCATTCTACAAAACATTCAAAAGGAMGGAAAAAATACAAATATCAATACGTGTTCGATGTCTATTTTCGTTTTCAGTTCGGCACTCCAAACGCAACCTCCAACGCACTCGCTGCTCGACCTACCAGAACTTGTAGTAGCGATTGCTGCRCCTGTTGGTCCCATGCGGAACCACCCTATCAATACCGCATCCAGCGAGGCGTTTACCAAGTTCGAACCCAGCAACACAACGAAGGTCGTTCGGGTGTCCAGGTAGCCCCTCAGGATCCCCGTTGATGCCGAGATTACAAATACCGCAGGGGCGGCGACCGCCCGCACACCGAGAAAGGACGAGGCATACGAGAAGGCAGCATCACCTGTCTCTGTCGCTCCCATGAYCCCCAACAACGGGCCCGATCCTCCGATCAACACACAACAAAGGGCGGCCCCCAGGAGCAGGGCGAGGCTCAGGGCCTGCCCMCCTAATTCAATCGCCCCTTCGTTTTCGCCCGCAGCCCGGCGTTGCGACACGAGGGGTGTGGTGACGGTGCACAAAAAGTTGAAGAGGTAGAAGGAGAACGTGAGGAGGGCGGCGGCAGATCCCATCCCGGCCAGTGCGGCCGAGTCCTGGGCCGTTCGTCCAACGAACGCCGTGTCGACGAGGTTCTGTTCGCGGAATGGGCGTGATTTTGTTAGAAACCAAAACAGAGTGTAGGTGAAAGYRWAAGTGACACGATGATTCCATGGGTTTGATTTACAAAAAATCAATTTCATCTCGAATCTAGCAAGTCGAAGTATCTCAGAAACCTACCATGAGAGGATCGATGGCCAATCCGGCTAGAGCCGGGACCGCAATCGACAAGATTTCTTGACCCGTGCTAATTTGGGATTGCGGAAGACCTGTACTGGTTTCCTCGAAGCTCGGGGAATTTGACACATCGTCGTTGACGCCGTCTTCGTCGTCACCATCGTCGTCACCATCGTCGTCACCATCGTCGTCGCCTTCGGCTTCGTCTCCCCAAAACGAAGCACCAATATTGGATCTTTCTTCCTGTTTGTCGTTCTTGCGGTTTTCGTTTTCGTTCCCAWCTGCACCACTAYCACTGTCATCATGAAGAAGAGCTGAAATAAAAATCGTCCGTGAGCGAGTCGATGACGTTCGAAAATATTGTCTCTTGGATGAACGACGGAAACAGAAACCACTTTCGATCGACCTTTTTCGTTCCCTTCAAAACGGGTACTTACGTTCGCGGAGAGCCTCGGCCCCCTTTTCCAAGTCCATTTCTTACAACTCGATTATCTAGCACAGTCGTCGACAAAACGATGAATTGTGCTTTTTGAATTTCAATCAAACAAATGGTTGYACGAGTTAAAGATTGTGTTTCCAATAGCGGTGGAAGATGCAGAAACTGTTTCGATCGAGATWATTTACTGTATCATGAGTCGCTTAGTTTTTGCGAGTGGTGGCATTTTTGGAGCACCCATGTGTGACATGATTGACTCAAACTGTGCAGTCACGAACAAATGGTCAAAGCTCAAAGCAGTCAGAGTAGAATTGCGTATCGTACGGTATGAATCTCTTACTCGTAGCACTGGAAATATGAAGAGCACCGAACTCATTGAACAGAAGATATCATTGGTAGAGTATCTGGGCTACATACATACAATACCCGTGCGTTCAAAATTAGTAGTTGTTGTCCGGTCCGCCCAAGCTCTGTACCGGTACGTAACTACCGGAACTGTACCCTCCCTTTGGATTACGGAACGTACCATCCCTCTTTACTCGCCAAAAAAAGGTTAGGCTTGGGCGCTAGAGATCCCTAAAAAAWTAGTCAAATCGCGAGACAGCACGTGTACATCTATTATTTCATCGGCATAAAATAATGAGTCTTAGGCATCCTCATTGAATGCAATGATCAATCAAAAATTACAGTACATTACTGTACAGGCASTACTGTAGGGTACGGTGGTACTTTTATTTTTTATTGTTGTTTTGAATTGTTTTGAACTCCTCCTATCTACKCTACGTACGAGTACTCGTACAAGTAGGGGTTCTTGCTGACTTTTACGGGTTTACCCCATCCCATTCGTAATACTTTGTTACATAAGGTCCCGTACCGTAATACTGTAGCTACCGTATGTAGGGCACGCATCACTCTGTCACATTCACATCCTATCCAACTGTGGGAASAATACGATACGTATGACAACGTACGGTAAATTCCGGTACAAACTCAAGGTACAGTAACAGTAGACATGTGTGAGCTTTACCGTATCAATTATCAATAGCGGTCGAAGTATTGCTAATGGATAACATTGAGAAACACTAACAACAATCTCGGCAGCAACCACCAAGGAGCTACGACTAGCTGACGAAGCTCCCATTTCCGGCATCAACCAATCGCAACGAAGACTGAGCGGCAGAGAACGCCCCCAGAATCCTTCTAGGTCAGCGGAGCCGAAGCGAAGATATCTGCGCGTCCTTTTCGTCAAATAAGAAAACATCTGTTAGTGAATCCTTAACACCAACTACCATGGCGAGCAACGTGCTGTGCGGTCAGGCCGGATTGCTCCAGCTTCCCCCGGTGAGGAAATCGAAGAGCGGTGACAAACCCGTGTGCTCGATGCTGGCGGATGCCAAACTCCATCCATATCTTCGGGTAGACCGCAAAAAACTCAAGTCGGACTCTAGGACGGGGATCGAGGTATTCAAAATCAGCAAGGTAGGTATCGCGGCTCCGTGCACAAGAGGATGCTCGCATGCACAGTTGAATCGAATCGAAAGATGAATGGTATTTCAGCGAGTAGCAGGAAACATCATCGCGGTGTCTCACGATTGCGTGTTTTTCAAACTTGCTTTCTCTCAGAACGGCAAACTTCAGGCCCGGAGGCTGGGCATATCTCCGGACAATCGCTGCTTGCTAGTCACCACCAACCGCGTCAACTCCTTCAAGAGCTTCCTTAAGGTGGCTACGGGGAACACACACGATCCCAGCAGCACGAAGGTCATCGACGTGTCTCGGATCGATCGCCTCATCAAGGGGCAGTTGAGCAAGCGGTTTCTGATGGAGAACCACCACTCGGACGACCTGGCGGCCGGTGGGGGGACCCACAGCCAGTCCAACTCGGAGGCATTTTTGGAACAGCACGAGGCAACCAGCATTACAATAGTCTATCGACAAACTAGAGCGGAGAGATTGTCGTCGCTGTCCCTGTCTTCCGCGACGGAAGCCGGCGATGCGTCGTACGGCGGCAGAATCGGTAGCAGCATCTCGGGCGGCCTCAACAAGACCGTGAACATGAACGCGAGCGTTTCGGGCGACGAAAGTACTATTGCGAGCAGGAGTATTAAGAGCAAGGGTCAGAGCAAGGGACACGGCAAGGCCCCCGTAGAGTCTTGCGCGTATTACGGTGGATACGAGTGTCTGGACTTGTGCATAACCGACCCCAAAGATTTTCAGCAGCTGGTTGAAACCCTCGAGGAGCTGATGGAATTGTACAAGAAAGAGAGGCGATGGATGGAGCGATCGGTTCTGTTGTATCAGCACCACCGGATAGACATGGGCCGGACCGACGTCAGTGATCCCATTTCGCCAGGAGATTGGATCAGTCTTTGCGACCGACTCAATGCCCCGCTCCGAAGGCCGGAGATAAAATCCCTCTACAAGGATATGCAAAACGAGCTCAAACGGGCATGCAAAGAACTCGGTACGGAATTGGATTTCTTGGACAGCGGGTTGCCCCCTTGGGCCGTTGCCGAGTTGCTGAAGGACTTGCACTTTCAGAGCACCACTGCTATGGGACTAAAGTATACCAAACAGGATCCAACGTTGCGGCTGTGGCACGAAATCTTAGACAGTGACCCGGTTCCTATCCTCAACAAAGATGGCTCGAAGAACAACATGGACACCAAAATGATCAACCAATCGGCCAGCACCGACACGACAATATCCCCCGTCGCCTTGTTGAGTTTCATAAGATCTCAGCAAAAAGAATTCAAGGCTAGCCTGGAGGATGCTACGGAAATCATCAAAGCCGTGAAAGCGCAAAAGTCGTTCAAACACCTGGCAGCGGAAACAGGGGATGCTGGCAACGGCAACAACCCAGGCGGTGGAGCTGGTGATGGAAGATTGACCAAGGACGAATTCATGAATTTCCTTCTCTCCGACACAAACGACCTGATGGATCCGCGCAAGGGCAAAGTGAACGCGGACGACATGACCCACCCACTGAGCAGCTATTGGATTATGTCTAGTCACGACACATATCTGGATTGTTGGAATCCAGACCACATTGTTCTGGACGAGCAAATGTACCTCGCGGCTTTGTATAGGGGGGTCAAGTGCCTGGAACTCGACATTTTCGACGACTGCTCGCTAGCCCCGAAACCTGTTATCGCCCGAGAGAAACCTACATCGGTCGACGATCCATGCATTAGCGTGAGGGTAGCCCTCAGGGCAATACGACAATATCTCGTGACAAATGAGAATTCGTTCCCTATTATCGTCAACATCGAAAACCATTGTTCGTACGAGGCGCAAGAAAAATTGGCCGACTACATTTACGAGGATCTAGGATCGATCGGTCTGATTGTCGTTCCGGACAATTCTGGTTCGATTGATAGCTCAGATCTCTTGCCCAGTCCAGCATCGATGAAAGGTAGGGTACTAATTATGGGAAAGCGACCATCCATTGTTGAGGACGGCGCAAAAGTGATCAACGATGATTTCGACGACGAAAACGATGTTAGCATTGACGAAGCCGATTTCGCCATTCCGAACGTCAAGTCTGAAGACGGTGAGGATAGCGAGAGGGGCATTGTTGTCGGGTTTGATGCAAAAGGACCGATCCGTGTATACAACGAAAGAGAACAGAAAAATACCATCGAACATTCCCCCGGAGAATTATTATACATAGCGAAACAAGAACTAGAGACAGCGGAATTGCAAGCGGCGCAGGTCGAGATGAAGGCAATTGCTCTTGAGGAAGCATCATTGCGAGTCGAAAAGTACGCAGACGCTTTGATTCGCAATGCGGGGTTGTCGGACGAAGCAGTTGCAGAATTGCTACAGAGGCTCAACGGAGAAGACATCGATCCGGATCGTCACTTGGATTCGCTCCCACGACGAGACGAAGGGGTCGAGGTAGAAGATTTCTTTGCAGATGCAGTCAATTCCGCCAAGCTGACTTTTGCGAAAGCCGATCAATTTGCCCTACAGGCGGCCGAAGAGACAAACCGCGCCCTCCAGCAGCTAAATCAAGCCACGGAACGATTGCACGAAGCCGAAAAGCTCCGTGAAACTTCTTTTGTGAAGGGCAAAAGAGTAGTATCCAAATTTCAGAAGGCTGCTAAGATTGCTCGAGAGAAACAAGAAAATGCCGCTCACGCTCATCGTCGAGTGGAAAAACTCCGGCAGATGCTTGAAGAATGCGAAACCGGGGCCAATAGTGCAAACAATGTTGTCAACACGGCCATGACGGAGGCGAAGATCAGTGAAAAACGAGCGGCAGAAACCGAGGCACGTGCGGCTAGGGCGGCTGCCATTGCACAAAAAGATCGTGCTCGCGCTGAAGAAGAGACTAGAAAGGAGGAAATACTTGAACAAGAAGCAGGTCTTCTTCATGAAAAACTACTGGAGATAGCCAGGAAGGAAAAAGAGGTGAGAATGGAAGCGCAAAGATGTGCTGCGACGTATGAAAAACTAAGCAAGCAGATCAAGCTGATTGAAAACAGCAGGCAATTTATAGAAGAAGAAAAAATGGAAGGTGAACTCAGTGAAGAGAATAAGGAATTTCTTACCAAGGGTGGTAAAGTTCATTCGAAGCATGCTGCTAAGGTCGAGGAACGAAACACTATTTCTCTTCGAATGGATCAGATGGCGACCGAAATCAGCGAAGCAGCCAAGCTACGAACTATATCACAGGACGCATTTGAAAAGAAAGCGCATGAGTGGAAGAGCCAGGCAGATACAGCAGCTAAGTTTCGAAGGGTCGTAGACAAGAGCTCGCATGCAGCTGAAGATCTTGCAGAACACGCGGAAGAAGAGAGAGAAGCAGCAAATCTACGAAAGGTTGCGAGAGATAGAGCACAGTCCCACGTTACGCAAAAAGACTCGTACAAATCATCGTTGGAAGCCCAACTTGCAGAAGCGGAACGACACACGGTTGTGGCAGATGGCGAAGCAGTTGCAAGTCGAAAAGAAGCAGATCGCTTAGCCAAAGCTAATGAAAGCTACGAGAATAGCGGGTTTGAAGATATTTCTGCGATCATTGAGGGACGCAAGTTGACAAGAACAACGCTTCTAGCTGAATACGAGAAGAAGAAAGAAAATCAAAAAGCAGCGGAAGAAAAAGCAGCGGAGTTGAAGAAGGAATATGAGACCTCGGATAATGTCTTTTCGGGGGCAAAGCAGAATTCCGCATTGCACGAAAAGGTTTTGAAGAACCAACGGCAAGAAGACAAAAACGCTCTTTTAGCCGTTAACAGTGCTAAAGCAACTCGTATGAAAGCCCAGCTCGCACTGGAGGAAGCTCGATACGCCCAATCAGTTGTTTCTGAGAAGCTGGTAGTTGTGAAGCGTGCGGAAGAGTACAAACTCAAAACCGAGAGAGTGGTAGAAATTCCTACCCAGCTAGCAAACATGACATTTTTGCACACTCTGAAGCAAAAGTATTGGGAAAGAAGCTTGCAGCTTCCCAGTACCCATGTTCACAGTTTTGCCGACTGTATCCTTGACAAATTGGCCCTGAAGAACAAGGATTCGTTTGTTGATAACTTGAAAAACTTCACCTCATCACATTTGTGTCGAACTTTTCGCTCCTGGAAGGACGCCGAAGACTCCTCTCAACTGAACACGGATCCGCTTTCCCAGTGGTCCCTAGGGTGCCAACTCGTGTCTTTGAATTTTAGTACTTACGACGAGCACCTCCAAAAGGCCGATGGTAGGTTCCGACGTAACGGATCCTGTGGTTATACTCTCAAGCCCGAATTCCTTCGATCCTACGATTCTATTCCAGAACGACCCGAGAGCTGGAAGATCCACGTGTTATCTGGTAGCTACTTGCCGACTCCTGATTCGAAGCAAGTCGGAGGCAACGCCATGTCATATATTAATCCTTTTGTGAAAATCAACGTTTACGGAGGTGATTTAGGACAGCGCAAGGGGGAGCACGTGACAAGCACTGTCATGATGAATGGTCTGAATCCTGTTTTTGACGACAAGATGGGATTTATTTTCAAAGCTACTAGCCCTTCACTGGCAATTCTCACATTCACCGTATGGGACAAGGCGGAGAATGGAACCGAGGAATTCATAGGGGGATCAGCGATGCCTCTCTCCTGTATTCGAGAGGGATATCGCAGTGTCCCCTTATTCGACAAACAAAACACCCGAGGTGGAGCATTTGCCTATGCCTGTTTGCTTGTCAAGGCTAAGCGAATGACGTGAATTAGTTGAAGAGAGACAGAGAAGAAACTTGCCAATTATTTGGTTTTGCTGTGAACGTGTACAGTATTATGTTTTACACTATTGTTAAATTGTTTTCTGTTTATGCCTGGAGTAGACAATAGGAGCATTCAATCGTATTTTAAAATTAGATCAATGCAGGAATAAACTATAGCTCTTTACCAASCATGTTTTCCTGAATTCAATTCGTGAAGTAAACTATCTTCTTTTTTATCTGGCGCTCTACCTGATACCACAATAGTCCTCGTCTTCTTATCTTGTTCCACTAGGTCACTTTGTCGCCTCTCACTTACCATTCTTTACTTGCAATGTCATGGAAAGTACCAAGTATTTCTTTACGTTATCAAGTGCTCTGGTAACCTATGTTGTGCAGCACCACTTACAGTATTGGCTATGGTGCACTGGACTCCACTATCTTTAGTGCACGGTAGCCAGCAGTAACCTTGAAGAATTCTTACAGCCCTGGACTTACCGAGGAAACAAAAAGAAACTTTTTTTTAGTKTGGATTTGTGTAATCCCTGGCATACCATTTTTTACAAATAAATTAGTACCTTGACCAAAAAGAGATTATTAATTTTTAGAGACTTCTACTACATTCTTTTCAGAGCATAACTTCAACCTTACTAGCAATCATGGAAGTCAAAACATTTAAAAAAAAAAGACAAAACAGTTTTGACTGTAATTGGTTCTCGAAGAGGAGGGGGGTCTGGGGGGTGGAATTTCAAGAAACTTTCCAGTTGGCTGTTTTTTGTCGTAGAGCCGGTAGGGTTTTGAACTATAAGAWATATGGTAAAACAATAAAGTTAMGGGAATGAGATGCCAGCTTAAATGCTGGTGGCATGCGACTAAATTGAAAATATTGAACACTGATTCCTAACACAGTAGAGCTATTAAAGGCAAGCCCCGTACTGGCAAGTTATTGGCAATTCCAAACCTCCAGGCCGGCTGGCTTGCCTACCATGTGCATGTACCCCCTGTACATTCAGTACTGTAGTACTAATCCTACGTAATCTACATGTGTATTTTTACACATAGATTCAGTACTGAGGCACCTCCATCCAATGCTGCACCTCCACCAATGAAAATACGGAGCAAACACATCAAATCGCCTCATCCGGAAGCAAAACAAGCGTTCATTCATACTCTTTGGCAAGCGTTCATTCATACTCAAGGAACCGGCATGCGGACGCTTCGATACTCAAGCAAACGGCTCTTGCGTTTTACGGATACTCAAGGGACCGGCATGCAACGCTTTGATACTCAAGAAAACGGCTCTTGTGTTTGCGGATACTCAAGCGAAACACCCGTTGACGTATTGATACTCAAGGGACCGGCGTGCGATACTTCGATACTCAAGCAAGTTCAGATCTCCGTATTCAAGTTATTTGCGTTGTTATTTTCGTTGTTATTTGCAGTCTTCCAGTGAGCTACTATTGTTGTGTTGTTTGTGGTGCTACTCAAGTGTGATTCTCAAGTGCGATACTCAAGTGCGATACTCAAGTGCGATACTCAAGTGCGATACTCAAGTGCGATACTCAAGTGCGATACTCAAGTGCGATACTCAATCAAGTGCAGATCTCCATATTCAAGTTATTTGCGGTCTGCAAAACTCGATTCATGTTTGTGGTGTTTGCAGAGACTATTCAACAACTCAAGTGAGTTGCGTTGTTTGCAGAGATTCAACTCAACAACCAACCGTTTATCATTCAAGTCAATCTAATTGGGGCACAATTGATTCATCACAGACCAATTTGTCTGAAGGGTGTAGTGCCAAGCTAATTTGTCTGCTGACCGGCCAGCTCCAATGGCAGCAAGAGAGCATCTTCATCATGGACGTAATGATCCTCATCACAGAAGTGGGGCATGTCATCATAAGGACAGCAACCAGAGAAGTGTACAATTATTGTCTCAAGAGGATGTTCTTGATCCCATGGAAGTTTAACATTGGTTCTTCCAAAAAAGCAACAATCAACCAATTTATGAGACACTGATACAGAGTGCATGGTGATTTGCTGGTACGAGTCGCTGATACGGATGCTGATACAAGTCAATGATATGGAAGATGCTGATATGGAGGATGCTGATATGGAGGATGCTGATACGGAGGATACTGATACAAGTCGCTGCTACGAGTTGCTGATACAAGTTGCTGTTACTACAGAGTATGCTGATACTACAGATTACAAATGACGACGCTGCTCAGTTTTATATGGACGAGGATGCTGCTGATACGGAGGATGCTGATACAAGTCGCTGCTACGAGTTGCTGATACAAGTTGCTGTTACTACAGAGTATGCTGATACTACAGATTACGAATGATGACACTGCTCAGTTTTAAACTGCTCASTTTTAAAATTATGAGACTCGAATTCTGAAAAAAATCAGGCAAAGCAATGATGGGTGAAAAGGGTTCAGTTCCTGAAGAAATCCTGGTGCGGCCCTCAGCCATTCTCCGCCGCCAGAATTTTTCAGAAGTTGAATGACAATTTTTAACTGTTTTTTTTTCACTGACGGTTAAAATAACGGGATTTACCTGTAAAAATGAGCTAAATTTTTCTACTAGCATTTGTACGGGAATTGCCAATAACTTGCCAGTACGGGACTTGCCATTAATAGCTCTATCACAGTGCCTTCGACTTCCACTGCCACCGAAGCAGACCAATAACTTAGTTTTTGCACCGTAGCAAGTATTTGCGTTAGCGAGCCAATTACGTATATAACTAACAACATTGGATTCGTACCGTACTGGAAGAGGAGCAGAGGAAGCAATATAGAATGGTCTGTCATTCATCCGAGATGAAAAATCCTAGACTAGATCCATCCATCAAAAACCCATTTTTTATCCATCAAGAAAAACGACACCGATCAAGATAGAACGATGCAGCTTACATGAGTAATGAGTACGAGTTACGAGTTGCAGATCAAACAATACACAAAGTATCGTTCTCCTACTGTAAAAAGTAGCATCCGACTTCTCAGAAATTCCGTCCAAAAGGAGTCTTTGAAACCATTTTTTCCCTCAGGCAGTTTCCGTCGCCTTTCTTGTTTCGTTGTGGAACCAGAGCAAGGCGCATAACTTCTTTCGCCGTCATACATAGCAATAGGAGTGGGGTTCCCCCTGTCGTCGGGCATTTGGTCGAGAAAAGAAGAGAGTGCACGCAGAAGAAAGAAGTTTTTTCTGCAAGAAAATCGTCGATCTCTACAACAACGATGACGAAGAAACGAAAGCACGATGATGTAGCAGCTTCGTCGACCGCCAGCTCTGCTACTAATGATGCGGCCAAGGACGACAAAAATGGCACCACCAGCATAACGGAGGGATCCTCCGTGATGATTTTCCCCGCTAACCAGGAATCGGCCGTCTTTTACAACCCCGTCCAAGTCCAGAATAGAGACCTGTCCATCTTGATGATCAGCCTCTACGCTGAGCGACGTGCCATTCGACGTGCCGTGAAACAAAAGAAGAAGGAACTGAACAAACAGCGGCAAGCGGAAACAGATAAGGAAAAAAGGATGTCGAAGGAAGAGCTTGACAAACAACTGAAGGCTTACGAGGAATCGCTGGACGGCTCTCAATTAGCAAAGGAGACTACGGAGGCGAAAGAAAACAACAACGGAATCACAATCTTGGATGCCTTGGCGGCTTCTGGATTGCGATCCATCCGCTATTGGAAAGAAATCCCGGGGGTGAAACACGTCACAATCAACGATATGGAGGAAGCGGCGGTGGAGCGCGCCAAGGATAATCTCCGCAACAACAAAATAGAACCCTCCGTGATTTTGGAGGACAACGCCGAGCGCAACAGTGGAATATGTGTCAACCACGGCGACGCGACACACGAAATGTACATGTCTCGGAGGCCACAGAGTCTGGTGATCAACGAAGTAACAAAGCTTTCGGCAAAGCAGCAACCCATGTGGGACGTCATCGACCTCGATCCGTACGGGAGTGTCGCTCCATTTTTGGACGGGGCCGTTCAGGCAGCCGAAAACGGTGGTCTCCTCTGCATCACCTGTACCGATATGGCCGCCCTGGGCGGGTCCCATCCGGAAACAGCCTACGGACGATATGCAAGTCTCCCCATTCAGTCGGCCAAGTACCTACAGGAATTGGCGCTGCGGATTTTGTTGCACACCACCGCCGTGTCCGCGGCGAAGTACGGAAGGACCATTCGGCCGATTCTTAGCGTCGGAATGAATTTCTACGTCCGGGTCTTTGTCGAGATCGTCAACGACAAGAAGGGTGTCAGCGATTTGTCTCTGATCAATGGAAATGTCTACCAATCGACCCAGTGCTCCTCCTTTGTGACGATTCCCCAGGGACAAAAGGGCGGGAAGAACAACAACGGATACCAATCGTCTCGGGTGGAACCATCAAAATGCCCCGAAACCGGGGCGCCCTTCAAAATCGGTGGACCCCTCTGGCTGGGCCCTTTGCACGACCAAACAGTCGTGAAGGTTGCACTGGAACGCCTGGCAAACAAGGAGTGCAAGGCCCCCAACATGGAACTCATCGCGACCCGGGAGAGATTGCAGGGCCTCCTGACCTCGGTGTCCGAAGAACTGGACACGCCTCTCTATTACACCCTCCCCGGATTGTGCCAGGCCTTGCGCTGCAGCTGTCCTCCACTCAGGGAATTCAAGGGAGCGATTCTCAATGCTGGTTACAAGGTGAGCGGGTACCACAAGGAACCGAGCGCGATCAAGACGGATGCCCCCGGCCACGTCGTCTGGGACATTATGAGGGCATGGGTGGAAAAGAATCCATTGAAAAAGAAGCCGGCCGAGGGCAGCGTCGCCGAAAAAATCCTCGCCGTTGAGCGCAGCCTGAAAGAAGTGGACTGGTCGGTTCCGGAGTCGCTGAAACGCTCCGCAATGGTCGATGGAAAGAAGAAAAAGAAGATATCTCGGTTCCCGCTGAATCCCGAAAAGAACTGGGGACCGAARCGGGCGGCAACCGGGAAAAAAGAAGCCACCGACGACAAAACGGGAAGCAGCGAGACTGTCAAAGAAGGAAGTGAAGACACCGAAATGAAGGTGGTCGCCGAAAAATAAAGAGCAGAAAAAGAACGGAACGATGGCAGCGTCGAACGACGTGTTGGAACGAATGGTCATAATTTTTTAATATCAGAAAATATCGTCTGCCTTCAATTGTAGTACTCTGTCACTTTTGAATGCTATCTCACCTATGCTAGAAAAAGCTCTTCAGGCAGTTGTGTAGCGCTTGATATGACTGTTTAAAAAAWTTCTAGAGGATCAATTGCATTTCACAATCGGCGGATGAAAATCTAGATTTGTTTTTATCAAAACACGAAGTTTTGCGTGGAATCGATCCCTACGCAAAGGAAAGAAATTGTGTCTGTGTCCGCCCTATTTCAATGTGTCTATTTCACATTGGAAGCTGAATCCGATTCCTTTCTTTCCATTACTCGCAATTTTGTTCGGCAGCTGCGATGCAGATTATTATCCCCATTTCCCATTAATGCCATCGTTCTGATGCATTGGATCGAACGACTTATTATGGTGTATCGAATCATAGTGCGGCCGCAATAGAAAACTTCCCCTGCGATTCGTTCCCTTCTCTATGTTGAGATAGTTGCCGCCAATCGCTGGGTGAGATACTCGTGAGCGTTGATGGGTTCGTACTTTGCCGGTTCGTCTGGAAACAAGTTCTTGATCTCGACGTCCTTGTTCGCGTTGCAGAAAAAGGCAATCGAATACCGCTCCGGGACGATAGCACACGGCGAAACTTCAGCGGTTGCCGTCGCCGCATCGGGCGACTCGACCTTGTGGAGCGTGGCCTTGAGGCGATCGTTGGACCACCGCATGAGCATGTCCCCAACGTTGACGACGATCGAGTCCTCCACCGGCCGGACGCTTGTCCAGGTTCCGTCGGCCCGCCGCACCTTGAGGCCGCCCACCGAGTCCTGTGCGAGCAGCGTCAGCGTGCCGAAATCCGTGTGGGCGTTTCCGCGGAGCACCGTGTCACCGCCGGTGCCCTGGTCGCGAACCGTGCTTGGGTAGTGCAGGAGCCGCAGGTTTTGGGGTTTGGCGTTGCACTGCTCCACTAGGCCGCGTCCCCCATCCGGCAAGCCGAGGGCCTCCCCGATGTAGTGCATCAAGCGCAGGTTCAAGTTATCCATTTCCTCAAAGTAGGTCTCGAGAGCACCGCGAAAGACGTCCGGGGACAATTCGGTGGGCCACTCGTTGGCGTACACCCCGTCCTTCTCTGAAGGGATAGCAGAGGGGTCGTCGTAGCCAATGTCCATGGTTTCTTTTTGGTCCGGTGTGATGGCAATTGTTTCTGTTTCGCCTCGATCCGCCGGCAGGAAGCGCCCCTCCCCGTCCTTGTCGTGTTTCTCGGAACCGTAGGGAATGTATCCGCGGTTCGCTGCGGGAGACTTGTATTTGTACCTTAGCTTTGTGGCGAGAGGCAGCTCAAAAAAACTCTTTGAGGCAAGAAAGGCCTTTCGAAAGATCTCGGAGGGAACGCCATGGTGGATCAGGGTGCAGAAGCCGATCGTGGAAAAGGCATCGAGGAGCTCCGATGCGATCTTTGTCTCGTCTCGGTCCGGCGATAAATCGATGACGGGGATGCCGCACCCATTGTCGTCGGTGCGACTTCCACTTGAAGAATCTGTTGGTGTATCGCTGCTCATTGGAGAAACAACCTTGGTATGTGTTGCTGGTTGATAATTTGATGAACTTCAAACGCAATGCGAAGTTTCAAGCTTCTTTCATCGAGACCTGACCAAAGAACATGAAGATATTGATTGCACGTACAGTAAAGAAGTATGGTCCCTACCGTACGTACGGTACGAACAGTTCAGTAGTACAGTCCGGGTAGTACTCGTATCAGTTTTCGAGTGAAAGGAGTCCGTACCAGCCGGTGCCGTTCCTACAATACCAGCCGGTACGGTACTACGGTAGAATAGGATTTTTGGAAGCGGAGTGGGTCTTTTTGTGAAAGAACGAAGAACCGCATGTTCTCTGGTTCGTACGTATTGTACATAACTTTCCGAACTCGGATACATCAGATCCTGGTTCGAAGTTTCCAACAGAAAAATAAAGACAGTGACATCACACGTCATCCATATCGGATATCGGCAGATCGATATAAACATATGTATCCATGTGTATAAACATATGAATCCATGAATCCTCCTTTCCCTCGAAATCCAACGATGGGACAGGCTCTGAGCGTGCAACGAGAGCGTGCAGACAGCATGGCAGGGCCATTTACATAATC